CAGTCCATTAAAACCTGCTAAAATAGACATTGATGAGTTGTTGCTTGTTCTTCCCCCACGCCCTTCCCCTCCAGTCTCCTTCCTTTTTTCAATCTTAAGTAAGATTACACAATGAGCCCGGCCAGAGTGGTTCAGTGGTTGAGCATCAACTTATGAACCAGGAGGTCACGGTTCCATTCGACGTCAGGGCACATGTCCTGGTTGTGGGTTTGATCCCCAGTAGGGGGTGTGCAGGAGGCAGCCGATCAATGATTCTTGCTTATAAATGAGACACTGCAAATGTGTTTACCACTTCTTGATATTTGGCCATAAAGCTTTCTTTGTCCTTCTAGTGGGTGTAAACACTCTATGCTTTCTCTATTTTTCCACAATCAACTCGGCCTCGTGTAAGCTTACCCAGTTAAGAGTTTGTACAGCCATCGGGAGCTTAAAATTGCAGTGTTCTCTTATAAATCAAAACCCAATAAATTAAAAGGGAATTTATATTGCAAAACAGATAAGGGGTAATTGGGTTACAAAATTCAACTTTTAAAAGTGTTTTGTATATGTTTTTTCCATAGCAAACTTCTTTAAAGCATTTATTTTATTAGCAGAGAAGCTTCAGGTTTACCTCAAAGAACTTAAAACTTGAGAGTTCTTTCTAGTTAAATACAAATCAGAAATTACTGTAAAGCATAGCTGAAATTGTTGTCTAAAATGGAATCATTTGCAGAAAAAAAAAGTAATTTGTAAACAAAGATGTGTCTTTTGCATAAAGTGAAGTCTTTGTGTAAAACAGACTTTCAGCTTGTCTATAGAAAAGCCGGAACTGACTCAGAAAGGAAATCCCTGCCGTCCTGCTTGGAGTCAGGATGCATCGAGGTTAAAATAACAAACTGCCTCCGGCCTCCCTCGGGGCAGCAAAAGCAACCAAAATTGCCTCCAGAGCTGTAAACACAGAGAATGCTGTAGTAGACTGAACATGGGGGGAAAACTGGGGCCAATGTTTTTCTTAATGTTTGCCTAGGTGCAGGACTTTTTATTCGTTTATTTTTTCTAATAAATATGAAATACTATTTCTTTGTTTTATGAACTATTATTATTTTGGTTTAGGCTCCTGTTGTGGGTGAAAAAAAAACATGGCACATCAGACAAAATTAATTATCTTCCTTTGGGCGTAAAGAGAGGTGTGAGTATTGGGTGGCAAGGAAAGGTTCAAAATAAAAGTTCAAGTCACAATGGAACTGTTGAGATTTGACTGCTCTGCACCGCCCAGTGGGACAATGTGGAACATTGATTGATGTGAGTTGAACAAATGCTTGGCGTTTCAAATTGCACATAGAAATAAAGGTTAAGCTTTTTAAAGGAATGAGGTTATAACATTCACGCCCCCAGACTTGGTTGCTGTTGGGGATGGGGGATCCTGATAGACTGGAGAAGTCCTGAGGGCACCTGTGGGGGCTACACGAAGAAGTTCGGGCAGAACAAATGAGTGCTCTGAGGATCCAGACTAGGGCAGTGGGAGTCACCGTGGCTCTTAATGTGGAGCAAACTGATACCAATTCCATAATAAAGTCACGGTAAAGAATCGGCTCAGAAATGGAGCCAATACGTCTATCACTGTCTGATTGAGGAGAGATGAGCAGTGCTTATTCGTAGTAGAAATCTTTACTCCTCCCCATGTTATTTTCTCTAGCAGTTTATGTGGAGGTATATTCCTGTAGGTTTACACAGTCTTAAAAATCTGTGTCTAAAGCTCTGTGTCTATTGCCGTCCAAGCAACTGGTAACCAAGTGACCACATAGCAAGAGTATATTCTGAAGGAAAAATGAGCCCGCTTTTTAAGTGTTAGCCTTAGAACACCTGGATTTGTGATAAAAGGAAAATTTATAACGAAAGCAAACCTGGTGGGCTGGTGAGGTTGAGTTCTGAGATGACTTGGCATGTTTGAGTTCATCGCCCCCTGGGCCTCCAGTTGCATGGGCTTCTCTTGGTGTGAGGGTGCTCTGTTTCCTAGGAAATGAGAAAGTTAAAGAATGACCCTCCAGGACGTTTGGTATATCGATGTGTAAGTAGCTTTATCCTCTTGCCTTTCCCTTCCTAATTTACAGCTTTCTGGGTCTGGTTTTAGGAGTTTTCAAGAGATGTGATTAGCTTGACTTGCAGGAAACTTGCAAGGGGTTGCAGGGTAATGATGTGTCAGCTATGAACTCATTCAGCTAATCTGAAGGAAATTTTTAGAGCAGGAAAGAGCCATATTCAAAGGTGCTGACTTGTGAAATGTGGTAAGTGCATTTCTAGCTAAAGGAGCCAAAAGTCTAGTGTCCTAATCATGCAAAGGAAAGGAGGCGATGACCAGCAAACAGGGAAAAATTGAGCAACAACAAAACATTTACTCATTTGTATCATCCATGCCAGAGGTCCTCCTCTGTCATCAAAATAAGGAAAGCAGAGGGCAGATGTCTGGCAGCATCTGACTCAGGGATGGAGGGTTGAAGGAAGAGGCCACGTTTGACTAGGAGCCACATGAGCACAACGCAGGTCGGTGGAAGGCAGCAAGGGCTGGACTTGAAATTCACTGCTGAATAGTCAGCAGGTCTGTGAGCCCAGACTCAGTGAGAGCGGTTTCATGTCATTAATTCATTCACTTATTCATTGCGTCTGTATGAGCATCTATTAAATGCAGGGCACTCCGGAGAGCTGGTGTAACAGTTCTATCCTCCCTGAGCATATAACTTAGTGTTCCAGTTACTAGAGTTGCAAAGTAAATTACCCCAAAATTTAGTGGTGGAAGGCAGCTGTTGATGATGCTCATGGATTATATCGGTCAGGCATTCACTTAGGGCTCAGCAGGGCTCACTTGTCTCTGCATCATGGTGCCTGGGGGCCTCAGCCGGAAGATTTGAAGGCTGGCGGCTGCTATCATCTTGAGTTTGTTTGCACCTTTGTCTGAGGAATGGTGTTGGTGGTTGCTGTCAGCTGTGACCTTAGCTGGGTGATTGGCCCAAACTCCTGCACATAGTCTCTTCATATGGTCTGGGCTTCCTCACAATATGGTGGCTGGGTACCAAAGAAGAGTGCCGGAGAGGGTGAGCCAGGCAGAGACTGTCTGTTTCAATCATCTCGCTTCAGAAGCACAGATAGCGTGAATTCTGCTGTACTGGATTGGTCAGGATGGTCACAGACCCTGGAGAAATTCAAAGGGAGAGAACATCAACCCCAAATATCAGTGGAGGAAAGCCAATCATGATAAATGAAAAGCAGATAGGTATATATGTTTATAAGTGTGTGTGTATATGTGTTCATATATAAAATCTATCCCATTTAATAAGGGTGGAAGAAATATTACCAAAGCTCAAAATAAAAAGTGATGCATTTTTGTGATTGCTTTATAAATAATGGCACAAAGAATCATACAACTGAAAATATACCGATGAAAGCTAACACCTGAGCACTGTTTTCTAAATTTGAATCACGTCCACTATTTTTACGGTTATCTTATTATTTCTACTGTTGTGTCCTTACTCTTTTTTTTCTTAAAATTGACCTACTCAAGTTTGTTTTAAAAGCGAACTAGACAGTACTACCAAAATAAGATTTCTTTTTTGCCATGATTTATTTGCCATAAAATAAAAGCAACCTTAGATATAATAAAAGTAAAACAGAACAGTTATTAGATGATAAATTGACTGCTGTCGGTTGAAGGAGCTGAGGCTGAAGGGACCCCTCTCTTTGTCAAACACATGCTGGCAGGTGTTAGAAAGGTGTTAAATCACACTCAGACAAAATTGAGGCTCTCCCCTTGACTTACTCCAAAAGATTGAAAGAGAAATGAAAGCAAATGATCCCCAGTGAGAAGGTCAGTGATATTTATGGCCAGGTCTGTGTGCCTCCCCACAGCTTTTAAAGAACTATCAATATTATAATCCTACTTTGTTGGCAAACACTGATACAAGTGCTAAAAATTATAGATAGCTGGCCGGCTGGCGTGGCTCAGTCGTTAAGCATCGACCTATGAACCAGGAGGTCACGGTTTAATTCCCAATCAGGACACATGCCCCAGTTGTGTGTTTGATCCTCAGTAGGAGGTGTCCAGGAAGCAGCCGATCAATGATTCTCTCTCATCATTAATGTTTCTATCTCTCTCTCCCTCTTCCTTCCTCTCTGAAATCAATAAAAATATTTTTAAAAATATAGATAGTTAAGCTTTGATGTAGGTTCAAGCAAGTTCCTGGGATCCATGAGGAGGACCAGTGTCTAGCACAGTTAATTGTTGATAATCTACAAATGTATTTGTAACCCGCCATCTTTCAAAGGCTGGGGGTCCTTGTGCCTCTGCTTGGTTTGGTTTTCTAAACACCTTGAAAGGTCCAGTGAGCAGTAAAGGGCCTTGGTTAGTTGGCTTCTACAGAAGGTCTAGCTGCTCCCAGTACCTTATTACCTTTCCCCACATGTTGGCAGAATTGACTTCTTGCTCCCTCACTGTGGCATAACTAATGTTCCTACACTTTATAGAACCGCCTTCAGCCAGAGCTGCCAGAGCGACCTGCACTTTTTACTATGCAGTATTCCTGCAACATTCATTTTAGACATAATTATTAGCATCTGCCAGGACCAGTGTTATACTAGGCCCTGGAGATACCAGAGGACAAGCGGTGGACACTTTGGAATACAGAGAAAGGCCACTTGGAGGCAGCTATTTTCCCCCTAAAGTTTAATTAATTGCTTAGCAACACCATTGCCTTGTTGTTGGAGTATTCATCAGAAAACACTGCTTCTTGGAGACTTTTCCCCGTCGAGATGATAACTTGAGTATAGGTGGGCTTCCCTGCCTGGAGCTTTTCTTTCTGGTTTCCGGGAGTGTGGAGAAGGTCTGCTGAGGTTAGGAGGACAAGGGCCAGGTATTTATGTCTGGAGACTCCAGCTGGCAGCCTTTACCGCATTCTAGGACTCCTGATAGTAGGGCCTTTCTAGGCATGGGGCTGGCTTTAACAGACCTGCTTTTCCTTCTTTATTTATAGTCGTCTACGGTGAAGCTGTCAAAACCAGTGGCTCTGTGGACTCAGCAGGATGTCTGCAAGTGGTTGAAGAAACATTGTCCGAATCAGTATCAGATCTACAGCGAGTCATTCAAACAGCATGACATAACTGGTAAAGTATGCGGCATCCGGAATATTTCTCTCCCTCTCCCCTTCGCGATGGCCTTTCTCATACCCTTGCAATGAGACAGCATCTTCGTGCTGAAATTTTCTGGCACGGGTTTCCTTTAAAAGGGGTGGTCAACTCCAGATCCCAGTGAGCCATGCCACTTAACAAGCATAAGACATTGTTGTAGAGAACCATGGATTGCAAGTGTCCAATATAAAAATATGTGGAAATCAGGGTAAGGGGCTCAGGGATTTTAGAGAAAATAAAAGCAATCCTAGAAAAAAGAAAGGGAAGAAAGCTTTCAAATCAATTTGGTTACAGGATCCATCAGTAAATATTCTAAGTAGGAAAATTTAGAAGTAAATAGAATATTACTAACTACCCCTGAGATGAATACCTTCAAAGCACAAATTAAGACTCTGTTTAGATCAAGGGCCTTTGAGATACGTATGTGGTGATCAAGAAGCACTTAGAAGCAGAAAATATGACAGTATAATAAGCTGGAAAAGCCCTCAGGATCAAGTCTCTCAGTGGGAGAATGAGGTGGCAAGGGAGAGAGGACGGGCCTACTGCAGGAGCCCATCCGAGTAAGGTGTCTCTTCCAGACCTCACTGGCCCGGCTGCCCTGAGAGCCTCTTTCCATGGCAGCCTTCCTCCCCACAGCCTTTGATCCCAATCACTGTGATCAAAGATGGCACTGAGGAATGTGCTCTGTGCTTCAGGAGGAAACAAACATGAAGAAAGTTCTGATTCTAATACAGTCTTCCTTTAAAAAATTCTATATATATAAAAGGCTAAGTGTCCATCCAACTGGTAGCTGTGACATGCACTGACCACCAGGGGGCAGACACTCAACGCAGGAGCTGCTATGATGCGCACTGGCCATTTCAAAAATAAACGGCACTGTGGACCTGGCGCCGACAAATCAACACTCGGCTTCCCCCAAGTGGGACACAGGCCTGGAGCAACACCCCACCACATTTTAGCCAATGCTGCCAAGACCCCATGGCACAAAATGCAGCCCACAGCCCAGCCCAGCCCAGAAATGGTCGCTGTGGGCACTGGGTAACGGCGTCACATAGCGATGCCTGGCTCCCTTTCCCTGGCAACTAGCCTCCTTGGAATTTCTTCAGCCCAGGAACCTGACTTGCTTTATAGCCAGGTGCAAACATTTTACAGTTTAACCAAATATTTGTGATGCATTTTCCTGTGCCTCATCTCATTTGATCCTCACAAAAGTCCTGGAGTAGGTGGATAGGAGACTCAGTAGAACCCTATTTTCTTTTCATTAGCAAGACACAAATAGCAATATTAAAATATTCCTTCTAATTAATTTCCTTTCAATGTGCACAAATCCGGGCCGTGTGTGTGTGTGTGTGTGTGTGTGTGTGTGTGTGTATGATTTCAGAGAGGAAGGGAAGGGGGAGAGATATGGAAACATCAATGATGAGAGAGAATCATCGATTGGCTGCCTCCTGCATGCCCCCCACTGAGGATCAAGCCTGTAACCTGGGCACATGCCCTGACCAGGAACCGCACTGTGATCTGGTTCATAGGTCAGTGCTCCACCATGGAGCCATGCTGCCCGAGCAGAGTCTTCCTTTTTCCTAAGAAAAGAACTGATGCTCTAGTGGGAAAGTGGCTTGCTCTGGAGGAGCTCAACACTCTAACTGCCCAGCCTCTTTACAGACTCCTCCTCTCTCCTGAAATCTAACCTTTCTCTATAGTTTCTATTTACTCCTATTACTTTGGAAAGGGGTGCGTTAAGCAGAAGGTATTTAATTTTGCAGTTTGGTGTTTGCCCTGTAACTTTGAGAACTGGGGCAGATCCTACCTCCCTAGGGCAGGACTTGATGGGTGGTTTTGAAATGTGCTCCTTGGAGCCCTTATATACACTCAAGGCTGCCCAGGGGATAAGAGTGTGCTGGGGGTAAAGGTGGGCATTCAACCAAAGCAGCTCCCTTGTCTGTTTTATATGTTCGAATTGTTTAGAAAACTAGATTTGCAACAACCCTGCGGTTTAAAAATTGCTAAGCTAGATTATCATGGAGTCCTGGTGACCAAGTGGATAATGTTTAAATATATAAGGAACACACCCAAGTGTAGCTCAAGCTGAGTTAACAGAGCGTAAAATACCTCCCAACTTAAGCATAAAAAAGGTCCTTAATTCACTTCCTCTCTCCCCTCAACCGGAGGTAATGGCCCATTTGGATAACATTCCTGAAATCCTGAGGACAGAGGTAGAACTTTGCTTAGAATTCAGGTGTTAGATTGTATTTCTTAGTTCCCTCCCTTAAGAATATAAGAAAATCCCGTGTAAGGTCAGCTGTTCCGCCCCTAAAAGCGATCAGTCATTTAGGAACCATTTGGCTGATTATGGTAGCCTTCATCAGGTAATGTCCGCTAATGTTTCTTAATGCCTGTGATGGCCAGGGCGAAGCCTTTTTCGTGATCTTATTTGAAAGTAGTGTTATCTTTCATTAAGGGTGAGAATTATGAGATACCCTTGAGGGAAGGGTAAGCATTTATAATGGTTTGAAGAGGAGAAGACTATTGCTCCTCGGAAATGAAGATCTCATGCTTCAAGGCGTGTGGAGCGAATGGTCCCACTTCCCAAGGCTCTCTGCTGAGTGACGTGAGGGAAGGGGAGGAGATACGTATTTCAGGCAGCTGTCCCATTGCTTTCTGTGGCACCCTCCTTGGGCCCTTGGGCAAGATCCTGGCAAGGATTCTGAGCAAGTTCTTTAACCCCACTTCTCATCCCCAAAATGGAGGTACTAATAGTAACTGCCTCATAGAATCATTGTGAAAATTAAATGCAATAACAGAAGTAAAGCCATTTATTGACACCTTTTTCATGCCGTCTTTGAGCTATTATTTAGGTCAAGTTTCATCGGACAAGTCTAAAATCATACTATGACTTCATTCTAAGCTGTTTTCTGGCAAGAAAAGAAAGGGAATTATTTGGGGACTAATGGATCAGAGGTAATGACTTCAGATTAACATTTGGTCCACTTCTTTTTGACACTCACCTGTTCGAGGCCTCAGAAGACCACTCCCCTCTCCTGTTCTCTGGGCCAAGAAAGAATGTAAAATTCCCAAGTGATCACAAGTGCCAAGGAGCCAGGAATTAGCTCTCAGAACTTGGGCCAGCCTGCAGTTACCAGCTCTGTGGTGCTGGAAGCTGAGGGAATCCTAGTGCCCTTTCAGGCTGCAATCAACAAAGCAAAAAGGCTAATAAAATATCAGGACATGTTGACAGAACCCACCTCAGCAGCCTGTGCAGACATAGAGTGACTCAGGGACAGGTCAGAGCAGTGGTTGCTACGACCAAGCTGTGTGATGTTGTGAAGGTTACTGGATGCTCTGTGGCTTTCTCCAGCTGTAAAAGGGGGATGAGGATCGTCTCCGCCTGATGTTGCTGGGACAGCGGTTCCCGGTCATCGTAAACATGCAGTGAATGTTAGCTGCTGCTGTTTTCTGAGGTGCTGTCCTGACTTCTATGAAAATAAACAACACATATAAACAGTGTTGAATCCGTCGATCTTTATTCTCATGGGAACTGGGAAATGAGCACCTAATCAGGGGAGGGAAGTAATCCGGGCTGGTAGCTATGCCGTGCTTGTCTGCAAGGCTGCAAGAAAGATGCTCATATGTATGTCTCCTACGTAGGCTTAGATTCTTCTGAGTGATGCTGTTCCCTTGTCTTCCTTAAAGCCAGGATCTCCAATATCATGCTCATCAAGGAGATGTGGTATATTAATGTGACATATAAACAGTCTCTTAATTTAGAGGCAAATGATACAGTGACTGTAAATAAAAATAATATACTGGGTCAGACCCTTCCACCTTGTCCTCCACCCTCAACCTTGGACACATAATAGCTGTGTAATGTCACACAAATTTCTCATCAGTGAAATGACAATGATATTTATCTCAAAGTGTTACCGAGAAGATTAAATGGGATGATGCATGTGAAGGGCCTAGCTTAGTGCATAATAGACATTTATCCATTTAGCAAGTAATTATGAAGCCTCTATCCTGTACCAGGTTTGGGGAATATAGCAATCAATAAGATTGTCAGTGGTCTGTGTAGGTAAAAAAATTGTGCTTCCGTGGAAAACGATGCATCGCCAATAGCACACTGTTTCGGATGACCTCATTCCGTGTCTACAGAGTTGCTTTACAACTCTGTAAACTGATAGCCATACAAAATAATTCTTGTTGTAGACATGTAAATCCTGTTGCACAGTTTCGGGTGACATCCCTAGCTACTGTGGGAAAGGTGAGTTTTGCCTTCCATGCACACATTCATTTTCCACTCTTCTTATTCTATAACTATGTCTGCTGTCTAGATCCTCTTTTGAACTGGTGGTAACATCGTTTTCCTCAATGACTTAAATAAAATCTCAAACCATGTGCTCACTTATGTATTGACGATAGTCATGATTTTAGCTTTCTTTGGAAATGTAACCTTTCACCTTGGTAGTTTAATTTTTTTAATTTATGTTTTAGCCAGTAATGTCACTATGTCAACATTTTCTGGTTGCCTTTGTGTAAAGGCCATGAAGCCCTAAACAAACTGTGCCCCCAGTTTCTCCAAAGTCTAAGCAAACCCACCAGCATGCAAAACCTTCTGCAAATTTTCTATTAGAAGTTCTGAGAATTGCATTGTGTCCAGAAGGTTCCTGCTATTTTGTGGCAGATGTGTTTAATCAGAAGAGAAGCTGCTAGTGTTAACTCCCTGCAGAAGAGCTCTTAAAAAGGCATAAGATGGTTAGAACACCTGAGAGGCATTAGGGGAGATAGATTTAAATCATCAGATTAGGCTTGAAGGAGAGAAATTTGTCTATTTCCCTGTGCTTGCGAGATTTCTCTCCCCGGCTTGCGGAGGCCAGGCTTGCATGCTGATGAGGAAGCTCACTGGGTACAGGTGTAAGCTCCCAGACAGCTTTTCAGATTCTCTTTTATGCACAGTTAAGAATCTTTTCAGCTCTGAGGCG